CCCCTCGGCCGCGGGAACCCGACACTCGGGCCGGCACTCGGGCTCTGGGGCTGGCCCGAGGTAGCGGTGGTGGAGCCTGGGAGCCACTGGGCGGCGACCATTGGTTCCGCCAGCCACGCGGGGTGGGAGTTCTGCCATCCCATTGGGTTGCGTTCCTGGCCCTGCCTGCTGCCCCTTAGCTCAGAGGCGTGGCTGAATCTTTTCATCCCATTGGTAGCTTTTGCCAACTGGGCGATTTTTTTCACTCCATTGGCTTGTCTTTTCAGCGCGCAAGACCTCTTTCCATCGGATCGCCTAACTAGTTTTGCTATGGGATAGTTTCTCACAACACTGGAAGGAAAAAGACCAAGAGGTGGGATTTCCCCCTAATTGCCTCTGATTCACCCAGTGGGAAGCTTGTGGTTGCAGCGTTCCTATTCAGGTCTGGCCCCTACTGCTGGCCTGGGAGGGACAGGGTGGCGCTCCTGTCACCTGCCTCACAAAGCCCGTAAGATTGTAGGCCAGCGATTTTCCACCTTTTTATCTCATGGCCACATATAAACTAATTATTAAAATTCTGCGGCACACCAAAAAATGTTTTTATTTAGCGATTTGACAAAAATGATATAATTTTGATTCATTCACACCAGGCATTGTTGTATCTGCTGTCACTTTTTTTTAAAATTTACGATCTAAGGGAAGAGGTTAGGATCCCTAACTATATAGTCAGGTATAGAATGTTTTAAAAATTCTTGTGGCACACCAGTTGAAAATCGCTTGTTGTAGATCCGTCATGGTGTTGGTGTGGAGAAGGGCAGGGTTCTGAAGGCACTCAGGCCTTATTGGCTCCGGGAACCAGCTAACCCCAGGAGCCCAAGGCCTTAGGGCCCTCAGGAAAAAAGAGGCAGGTTGAGCACAGTAGGTGGGTGGAGCTGAAGGTGAACTGGGACAGGGTCCATTTTTTAACTGGTGGAATAGATATGTTCCTCACGAGGGCAGTTTCAGACCCTTGAACATTTCAAAGATTTTAACATACTCATCTAAGGCAGCAAAGCTTGTCAACATTTTACATCTCATGGAGCACACAGACTAATTTCTAAAACTGTAGCACACCAAATAGTTTTATTTTTTGCCAATCTGACAAAAAAAAACCAGGTATAATTTTAATTCATTCACACCAGACAGCTATTGCTGTGTTGGTTGTCCTTTTATTTGTCAATCAAAGGGAAAAGAAGTCAGTGTCCCTGACTAAATAGTCATATTGAATGCTTTAAAAGTTCTTGTGGCACATTGGTGGAAAATCACTGATATACGGGCAATTTCTCCTTAGTTTATGTTCTTGTTAACATATTCACTCCAAGATGAAAGATTCTGTAGTTTTAACTTTAATTTTTTTTGCATTTTTCTATTTAACGGTCAGGGCTGGAGGTGTGTGAGTCCTATCTCGGCCATAGGACTGATAAGCAAATGTTTCCTAAGTAGAAAAGGTGGGTGATATGGTCAGCTCTGTGCCTGGTATTTTCAGTGAGTGGAGTTGGAAGGACAAGGGAAATGTGTCATGGCTAGATCTGAACTATATTTCGTTCTGCTGCAATACATATTTTTGACATAAGAAACAAGGAGGTCACAAAAGCTGGTTGGGTTGTCATTCCGATATGCCAAGGTGGAGCATTCCATCAGCAGTCAGAGCACACACAAGAAGCAACCATGTCCTGGCTAGTGTGGCTCAGTGGGTTGAGTGTCAGCCTGCAAACCAAAGGGTCGAGGGTTTGATTCTCAGTTAGGTCTCATGCCTGGGTTGAAGGCCATGTCCCCAGTAGGGAACATGTTAGAGGGGAAACTCTTGTATTGTGTAGGGGAAACCACGCATTGATGTGTTTCTCCCTCTTTCTCCCTCCCTTACCCACTCTCTAAAAATAAATAAATAAAATTTTTTTAAAAAAGGAAAGGAGAAAAGCAACCAGTGAAAACATAAATAAGCGGAACAACAAGTTGATGTTTTTCTCTCGCTCTCAAATCAGTCAATAAAAAGAATTGAAAAAAAAAGAAACACGGGGAGCACAAAATGCTAATATACTCATACCAGGCTTTAGTCTGATGTTTACCACAGTATTTTTAGTTTAGGTTTTTTTTTTTGCATATGGCCTGACATAATTATTTGTAGAATGAATAACACTTGGTGTTTCCTTTAATTTCCTTTTATAATGTAATGCATATATATTGCAGATTTTCTTCCACTTACAATTTTTCATATTATTACACAGTCTGCATAAAAATATTGTATAAGGGCTCCAAAATACTTCTCTGAATGTGTTTTTCATAGTAACCTTTATTGTTGACTACTAACTGAATTAGTTTCATGAATTGTCATCATAGTGCTAATTGCTTATAACCAGTAACGAGGAGCTCTTTACTTCTGGAGATAGTAACAATCTCTTTCATACAGCCATACTATTATTGTTAGAAAGTCCTTTCTCTGGAGGGCAGACATTTGACCATGTGATTTCCCCCAAAAGGTCTAGCAGTCTGGGTTTCAAATCTTCCCTTGGAAAGTTAGACAGCCTCCCTAGTTGTGAGGGAATGTAGATGGGCCTTTTCTCAGTGCCCTACAGGCTGTGGGTTTCAGTTGGTGCCTATTGACTCCCATAAGACTTATAGCCGTATTTTGCCATGCATAATGCACACCCACGTTTTTGCCCCAAACTTTCAGAAGAAAAAAAATCTTTCATTTTAATGTTTTAATTCAATTATTTATTTTTATTTAGAAACAAAACTGATTATCATATTCTAGGGTATTATTTTGTATCTGGATATCATTATTGCTTTCTAGAGTTACATTTTTAATGCATAAGCATAAACAAAATAAAAACATTTATATAGGTATGGAATTAGTACTACCCATGTATAATGCTTATCTTTATTTTTCCCTCAAAAATGTGACCATTTTTACACAGCAAAATACAGTACCTCCAGAAGGACTCCTTATGGTTAATTGGGCTCAATTTATAATGAGAGTTCAGCAACCATTGCTGATAGCGGCCTCTAATGCACTCTGCATTTCAGGTGAAAGCCACAGACAGAACTGCCAGCTGAGTTCGTGGAATCATCTTTTAATCAATGGACTACCCCGTCCAATTGGAACTGCACAGCTATATCCTTATTTGCGACTTCAAAGGCCAATCAGAGCAACTCTATAATGACCAATCAGAATGAGCAATTCTGACCAATCAGGACAATGCTATTTGGACCGATCAGACTATGCAAATTTGGATTCCTTATTTGAATAAAAATGGGCCAATCAATAATGGGGCAGGAACTTTATACAGGCCAGCCTTTTCTTTGTCCTGGTAGAGCACACTTTCCCTTTTCATGGAGGCTGTGTCTCTCTGGTTTGCAAACTCTTTACCTGAATAAAGTTTCCTTTTATTGCTCCCAGATTGGGAACTTGTGTTGGCATTGGATTGGTGGCAGCGACCTTTTGTTGACATGCATCTGGGATGCCAGAAGCCTCTAAAGCTGCTCTGGAGAAGGGCAAGAGATAAGAGCAGCTAGGAACTGAGAAGATGAAGGAAACTGGCTAGGAGGGGTAGGCAAGGACAAAGCACTTTGAAACTGGTTATTTCTCTGGGTTCTCATAGGGAGCAGGTAGCACAGAGATTATTCCTCAGAGATCCAGAACCTGAGGCCCAGAAAGGGAAAGTGACTTGCTTAGGATCACAGAGTCCATTCATGTCAGAATCCACCACTCCCCGTAAGAATCATCTATGGGCTTTCTAGTCACATTCCTCGACATTCACTGATTTTGGCTGCTGGCCCACAGGCTTCTTTAATCCACGCCTTCGTGATCACTCACAGCTGCTCTTATCTGAAGGCCGCGGCGGCTGCAGGTTCTGACTGCTGTTTCCTGTACTTCAGTCCCCACCACTACATCTGCTGCTGGACCTCATGAGAGGCTGCTGCTCCTCTGACTGTTCCTTTTTCCCAATCTGCCAATTGCTTCCAGGCTTTAGTTTCTTTCCCAATTTGTATGGTCAGCTCCCTCTACATCTTTAATCTTTCTTTTGCTTTATTTTCCTGATTATTATTATCCTCCCCAACACCCTACCATCACAACCCATTCATCTAAATATTTTGTTTCTCTGCTTTTCTAACTAGGTTCCTGCTTCCAACTGTATCTTAATCCTCAGCCAGCCACCAATCAGGTTTTGCTCCAGTTCCCTGCATTAGCCTTCCAAAATCTTCACCTCTCTTTTCCTGTCTCCTACTCTCTGCTTTTATCCTCCCCCCTCCCCACCAGCAACTGATCTTGTCTCCTACTTCACAGGGGAACTTTCACAAGATCCTGCTCCCTATCCTTGCTTTCCTTTCTTCCTCTTGGTTTTAGGATGTGGTGTTTCTCCTGTCCAAAGTGAATCCCTTCACCTCCGCCTTGACCTCATCCCCTCCCTCCATCTCTGGGATATTGCCTCACCAGGCATCTCTCTTTCTCTTCCGCATCCTTCAAGGTCTTGTTACCTACTGGCCTCTTTCCTTTTTCCTTCCTAAAAACTGCTTTCTCAACTCCACATCTGCCTCTGGATATTGTATGACTTCTCTCCTCCTCTTTCCATTCAAATTTCTTAAAGAAACTCCTTCTGCCTCCACTGCACCACTGAAACTACACTCTCCCCAAAGACCTTCTAACTGCAAAATCCAGTGAACACTTTCCAGTCTTGATCTTACTGGAGACCACAGCTGCATCTAACATCACTGCTCACTCTATCCTCCTTGAAACCCTGCCCTCCCTCCTTGGCTGCCTTGAAGCCACTCTCTCCTCTGGTGCCATGGCTAGCAGATTAAATGTGGGTGTAGTGAAGACAGATGGCCGGATCTAGCCTCTCTGTGTGTTGCTTCCTTTTACCCCCAATAGGTGCTGACCCGAAGGTCTTAGAATGTCTATCCTTGGGCCGGGCTCTAGCTATTGCATACAGAGCCAGGTCAGATTCCAGTGGCTTCCCCTTTATTGCTGATCTGGGCCAGGCTCACAGAGGCCTGTGCCAGGTGTTGACAGTGTCTGTCCCTGGAGGAGGGAAGAGCAGAGGTGAAAGGGTCAGGTACGGCGGTTAGAGGTAGGGCCAGGTCGGAGGCTGGGTGGATCAGGGAAACCAGGGGGACTAGGGCGGGAGCTGGGATGGCCAGAGGGCCCCTGTTTCTGTAGGACCTCGAAGTCAGAGTTGCTGATGATGGTTTCTTGGAGGGTAGGAATCTCTGCAAAAGGCACATAGTCTGCTCCTAGGGGTGGAAACCAATGCAGGTATGGGATACAGGAGGTGAGGGGTGAGGGGTTAGGGGGCGAGTGGTCCTGGGTGGGATAGTTGAGGATGGGAGTGCCTTTCTGCCTGACTTTCTGACTACAGACTCTGGAATGACTCCTTGTCCCAGGTTGCCCCCCTCACCATGAGGCCTCCCTCCTCGTCGCCGGGTCTCTTCAGTCTCAAAGAAAGTCTGGTGTTCCTCCCAGCGCCGGTCACAGGCTGCACACAGGAAATTAGACTCAAAGCAGTTGCAGCAACAGCCTAGGGCAAGAGGACAACCAAGATAAGTATAGGAATTGGGGCTTCCCCCACAGACTGACTACATGCTCATCTCTTCCTCACCCACCACAAAACCAAGTCTCTTCTACCAGCTCCCGTATCCTTATCCCCAAATTATATGCATCCTATCACCACTCATGCCCACCTCTGTACTCCCCTTGTTTTTGAAGGTACCTTTGACCCTGCAGGGATGGGACCCAGTAGCTGCATGGTCTTCATGGTTATGTTTGCAGCGACATTGGGCTCTCCATGCCTTGGGGTCAAAGCTGGCTCTTCTCCTGAGCCAGAACTGACCCACCTCCTCTGGGCGTGATGGGATAAAGCAGAACATGAGGCAGCGGCACTGGTTCACATTGCAGGGCACAGAAATGTCTGTGGGAATGGGGATGGGTGGTAGGTCTAGACCAGCACCTGGTAGGGCCTGGCCTTCCCGTGCCAACCCCCTCCCCCATGCTAACATACCCACACTGTCTCTTATACATCCCAACGCATGGCAGAGTGCGGTTATCCCTCCTCACCGCCAGGGCCTGCGGGGGATAACTCAGTTCTCCCTACCTGATATGATCTGGTGCTCTCTCAACAAGTGTCCACAAAAGCACTTGGACTCATCCCCAATCCGGAAACAGTCCCATAGATAATGCGGGCAGCGCCAGCCAATGTAGAGACCTGGGTATGGTGGGATTGGGTATTAGGACCAATGAGAAGGAAAAAGAGCCTAAGCTCTCCAAGGTGTTCTCACCTATCCCCTGGTGGGGGGTACCTCACCTTCCCCCCGAGGTGTATTCATCTCCACCCATGAGTCCTCACCCCTATCCCTTTCGATTTTTTCCCTCAAGGTTTTCTCATCACTCCACAAGTGTTTCAGTTTCCTTCCCACTCTAGGATCCACTCCAACTCTGTCAGCCTGTCAGAGATGACTGAAGACAGTCTTTTGTTTCTGAACAGGAAGATTATAAATACAACTGTGTTTGAAGAGGAACGTGAATCTCAGTGAGTTCTCTGTGACTGTGGGGTTCTCACCTCCTCCCCTCCCTACCTTAGAGCCCAACTTTGCTTGGTTTCATTGAAGTGTCTAAGGAGTGAGGGACGGAAGTTGATTGGCGGGTGTGGGGGAGATGGTGGAGATTGGCCATGAAGGAGCATGGTGGTTGAAGGGACCCGAAGAGGAAGAGGGGTTGGGCAGACCTGGGGCCAAAAGGAAGGTTTCCCTCACTTTTTCAGGCCAGCACCTTCATATTTTCCTGGTACTATTGGACTAATGCCCTCTATGACCTTGAGAAGGGCTGCTGAGGGCTCTCCAAGGGTCAGGAGAAAAGGTAGGCCAGAAGTCATGAGTGGTAAAGACCAAAAAATACCAGCTTGTGAGGCATGGGAAGGAAGATGACGCTAAGACATACCCCTGAGCTCGGGCATCAGCAAGAGGCCCCTTCAGACCCTGGCTTTAGCAGTGGGATCTGAAAATGCCTGGCTGACACTCAGTCTCACCAGGAGACAAGGTGCTGCTGTGTAAATGTGGGAGGAGAACCAGAGAGTACCTCCCACTCAGATTTTCTCATCTTCCATGAGACCTAAGAGTACCCCAACTTCTAGCGGAGAATTCTGTATGAGTCCCATGTGGCAGGGCTCTTATTCCATTGAAGTGTCCCCTCCACCAAGAAGTGTCCCTGACTTGCTCGTCTATGGATTCCTCCTCTTGCCTTCCATGGCTCCTTGTGCTATTCTTATCACAGTTAATGAACTGTTCACTGGTATTGCTCCAGGGAACCAATCTGTCTTTTCGTCTATATCTCTAGTCCTAGCACAAGACCTGGCACAAAAGAGGTGCTCAGAGAACACAGACTGCCTGACTGGATAAGTGAATGAGCAAATTCCTTCAGTAGTCTGGGCAGAACCCTGAAGTTCCCCTGAGGAGGATATGAAAGAGTTACATCCTCTGGTCCTTGATTCTGTCCAGGGCCATAATCCACAATTCTGTGTCTAATTGTCAGGTTAGGTTTCCTTGTATTACCCATGGTCTCTCAGGGCCTAAAGTCTGTCCAGGTGTGGCTTTTGGCTTTGCTGCTTCTGTCTTGATGCTGATGGCCCGTAGTGCCAGTGCCCCGTTACACAGGGGAGTCTTGGTTTAAAGGGTGGGGTATAGGTAGAGTCACAATGGGAATGGGTGGGGGCCAGCATTCTGAACTCCATCCAGAGTAGCAGGACACACTGGATGGGCAGGTGGGAAGTGGGGGTGAACAGGGGTTAGTGCCCAGAGATCAGAGCCTAGCCTGAGATCCTGGGAGACTTGAGTCCAAGCGCTGATGGAGGAGCCAGTGTCTAGCTTTCAGATGAAGAAGACTGAAGCTTGGGCAGGGAGGCTGGCAAACTATATCTCAGACTCGATTACAGGTGTCCGTACCCTTTAAGTGGGACAGTTGACATCTGGCTGTGTAGTCTAGAGGGGTGCCCTCTACTCTCTGCCCTGATTCCAGATCCTCTTCCTGTTATGAGTGCACAAGGACTGGCAGGGAGGAGACATTGTCTGGGATGCCATTTTGATTCCTGATCACATAATCACATGATACATTTGCATGTTGACATCTCTTTGTGCTGGAATGTCTCCATACGAGATACATCTGTTCTTACGTGAAGGTTGTCTCCAGCCCAGACCTCTCTCCTGAACTAGTAGCCAGCTATCCACTAGACTCTTCCACCAGCATGTCCCACAAGCACTTCAAATGCATTATATCCAGTTATTCCTCCCAGACCTGGCCCTCATCCTTTGTCCTCTGTTCATCCAACACATTCTTAGCATCTACTCTGTCTTAGGCATTCAGTTAATGGCACCATTATCCAATCAGTTACTTAAGCCAATGCCTAGACAATATTCCAGGTATGTCCCTCCTTCTTATTCTATGCATCCAATGATCCAAAGGTTGGTTTTACCTTCTTAGCATTTCTTGAGCTTGTCGACTTCTTTCCACCTCCACCCATTCATTCCTTACCTGGATTGTTACCAGTGCCCCACAGTGTGGTCTTCCTGTCTCCAGTTTTTGTCTCTCTCAAGTCTATCCTACTGCCAGAGTGATCTTACAAAAACACAAATCTGTTCATGTTATTGTCACATTTACAATCTTTCAGTGAGGCCCTGGCTGGCGTAGCTCAGTGGATGGAGCTCGGGCTGTGAACCAAAGTGTCACAGGTTCGATTCCCAGTCAGGGCACATGTCTGGGTTGCAGGCCATGGCCCCCAGCAACCTCACATTGATGTTTCTCTCTCTCTCTCCCTCCCTTCCCTCTCTAAAAATAAATAAATAAATCTTTAAAAAAAATCTTTCAGTGACCCTCAGTTGCCCTCAGGATATAACCCCGGCTCCTGAGCATGGCACAGAAATGCCTGCGCAATTCTGCTCTTGCAGAGATGAGCTGCACTGATCTGCCAAACACCCCGTGCGGCAGGCATGCTGCGTCGCTTAGTTTCCTGCCGGTGCCTTGCCCTGCCATCACTCACCATACCCCCACTTTTACCTGGCTGCCTCTTCTTACTCATCTCACAGATTTCAGCTGAGAAGTCATCCCTTCCAAGATCTATTCCCCCAGTTCCCACAGTGGGGCACCTGCCCTTTTTCTCTGTTCATGCAGCACTCGGGGCTGAGCTCAGTTATAGCAGTTATTAGAATGAATTATTATTTTCCTTTTCCTTATTGGTGTCTCTCATTAAAGTGTAAGTTATTTAAGGGACTTTTTTTTCTCTTGGAAACCCCGTCAGTATCATGACCTCTATGGCTAGCATGGAGCCCGGCACATTGCTGGTGTTCAATGAATGTTGAATGAACAAGAGAGAAGCTTGCATGTGATATTTCTCTACAGAGCACATCTATGGATTCTCCAGGGGCAGAAAATCCCCAGTGTTGGAAGATAAACTCAAATATCTTGGTTCAAAACTAAAGAACACTTAAATTTTGGCATAAAAATGCCTGTTTAAACAGGAAAATGAAGAAGTCCAATTTCAAGAAGTACAGTGGCCTTAAAGAGTGGGGAGTGGACAAGAGGTTCTAAGAAGGAGAATGAGGGTACTGAACAGACCCAACAGTTACAAGAAGAGTGAAAGTGGCATAAGATGTCACTGAAATAAGCAAACAAAGCAATTTCAATGACTGAAGTAAGACCAAGAAACAAATGAGATAGATCACGGTGACTTTCTTGTCCAGAGGTGGAGGAGGGAGGTCCCTGCGTGGGACTGAGGAAAGCGAGTCCCATGGAGGACATGAGGACATAGAATTACCTGGTTGACTTTACATCTTAGGCCCATCTAGTTTTGACATACCTCTACTCCCATCGTAAGGAGGAAGTATGAAAAACCAAAATAAATGCAGTGACATATATTGAATTGGGTCTAGAAACCCCAGAATCTTCCTAGCAGGTCAAGGTGACCCTCTTACTGAAGTAACTAACCCCTATAGATACAAAGTTCAGTTACATAGATACACATGTTCACACAGGACGGCACGTGTTTACACAGTACGTCTGCACGCCCTTTCTATACAGACATGGATATAAGCCACTAACAGGACTGTCAAGAATACTCATTCTGGGCTGAGAGTTGGAATCAAGAGGGCTAGAAGATATGACTTTGCTCTTTGGTGGAGACTCACAGCTTTTGGGTACCCAAGTGATCATGTGTCTCATATTTAGGGGTGACTGCCTTTTAATGGAGTCCCACCAAGGGGACCAAGGCCTTCTGCCTTGTAAGAGCAATAAGTCACTTGGAGACTGTCCAGGTTCTCTTCCTTAGGGTCTGTTTGGTGCTGGCGGTCTGAGCCCTAGATCTGGGACTGGCCCATGTTTTTAACAACTTCAGTTCAGCCACGTGTCCCTAGCTGGGCTTTATATGAATATCCCCACTTTCATCTTCAACTACATCATCTACCTTGGCCTGCCTGCCTGCCTCCCGCCCAGATTTCAGGCTGGTGGCATTGCCATTTCCACAAGGGGCAGCTATCCATTGAATGGACAAGCACCCAGAAACCAATGGATGAGAGGATAGCCCTGAACCTGTCAGAAGCCTCTGAAAGGCTTCCTGGGCCCACCTGTCTGGATGGCACTCAGGGCTGCATTCTTCTCCCATTGGAAGAGATTTTTCACCTGAGCACCAAACATCCCTCTGTGCACTGTGTTAGCCACTTTCACCATCTCCGCCTGCTTCGTAGAGACCGCTGGGCTGACTCTGTAACCTGGGAAGACAGGGGCAGAGTAATCAAGGAGAAGTGGGGGCCCTAAAACTAAGAGAGGGGGTCAGGTTGAAGATTAACCCAATCCCCTTCTCCTGGGGCAGGTGAAAGACAGTGATGAGAATGGGGAGAAGGGCGGGAGCAATTACAGCCAACTCCTTTCTTCTCCTTCTTCTTGCCCAGTTGATGACCAGACTGAGCTGTGAGAGTGGCTCTGTCAGTGGCATCCACCCCATCCTTGTTCTCTCCTTCTTCCCTTTCCTTTGCAGATGTGTCCGGATGGACCTGGGCGGAAGGGCCTGAAAGGGAGTGCTTTTGAAGGGATCCAGATTGAGGGATCTGCATGGATCTTCTCGTCCGGGAGACGTCACTGGAGGGAAACTCAGAGATGGGGCCTTCCTTCAGAGTGTCAGAGGGAGCCCTAGAGACGTGGCCTGGTGATGCATTGTGAGAAGTAAGCTGTTTCTCTGGAACCTTAGAGATGTGAATCTCCGACGGGCTCTTGGGGACAGAGTGGTCTAAAGAGGCCTTGGAGATGGAAGGCTCCAAGGTGGTTTCTGAGGCACGGGTCTCTAACGGGCTGTGGGAAGAGGAAGTCATCACAGGAGATTCAGGGGTGTGGGGCTCTAAAGGAGTCTCAAAAATGGAAGGCTCCAAGAGGGTTTCTGAGGTATGGGTCTCTAATGGGGTGTGGGAAGTGGAAGGTGTCACATGAGATTCAGGGGTGTGGGGCTCTAATGGGTTCTGGGAAGCAGAAGGCTCCAAAGGAGAGGTAAGTGGTTCTAAAGGGGTCTCAGGGATGGAAGGCTCCAAGACCGTTTCCAAGGTATGGGTCTCTAACGGGTTCTGGGAAGCGGAAGGCTCCAGAGGAGTTGCAGAACTAAGTGGTTCTAAAGGGGTCTCAGAGATGGAAGCCTTCATGGGGGTTTCAGAGAGAGGGGGCTCCTGTGAGTCGCTGGCAGAGGGGTCCTTTGAAGAAGGGTGCTCCTCTGCATCCATGGTGGTATGAGGCTCTTCTCCGACCTCGTCTGCTTCCATCTAGTGGTAGAATAGGGTACAGGCTTTAGGTTGGGATTGGAGGGTGTTGCAAGTCAGGGTTCATAGGCTGGAGGGGAATTAGGATAAGTGCACCTGAGATATGAGGGGGGCGCAAGATGAGCTCTGTATTAGGCTATAAGGCCGGAAGGTTCATGGATGTGTCCAGACCTCATGCAGCACCCTGCTATGGGTTGTGAGGGAGCTGGAACTTAAAGAATGAAAGGCTGAAGCAGACAGAATCCCATCAGTAGATGGTAGCAGAGGACCATGCCCCAGGAGGGAGCCTAAACACAGCAACTTGGCCAGTCCAAGAGCAGGGCATGGTCCTAGGCATACCTTGGGACCATGGGGGTCAACCTGTGTAATTCTAGAGACTGGGAATACTAAGCCAAAGGTTGGGGGGGGGTTTGCTCCCCAGAGTACAGAAGGATGGCATGATGGCAGGGCCCTGGCCACAGTCTAGTTTTGTTTAGGGATGATAATCATCTTCCTTCGATGATGTCATTCATGTTCAAAGCTTCAACTACTTCCAACTATGTGCTGATGACCCCTGAATCCATGATTCCATCTCAGACCTCTTTAATCCCTATACTTCACACTCATACCCAACGGCCTGCTGAACGTGGCTCAGTGGGTGTCCTACAGGGCATCAGAACTGCCTCCGGGAGTTATCCTAGTTTTCTCCTTTCCCCTTAGCCCTTCTCTTCAAACAGGCACCAAGGACTGTATTTCCTATCTTCTAAATATCCCCCCAAATCCATTTGTTTCTCTCCTTTCCCTCCAATTTTGTTCAAGTTCTCATCATTTTCTGCCTGGATTATGTATGATAACTTTGGCCCTCTGCTGCCTTCCCCAGCATATTAATCCACTCATCTGTTCTTTCATTGGTTTATGTAATTTATTCTTTTGTAAAGGGCCTAACCCTACACTTCTACTGAGACACTGTGCTAAGCACTAGGCTCAGTTAAAGGACGTTGGGAAGGAGACAGGTTAACCAACTTGACAACACAAAGGAGCTGGGGTGAGTCCAGGACGCCGTGGAGAGCGGGGTGTGCCGAATGTATCTTGGAAGCATGTCCAAAAGAAGTGAGTGCTCCTTAACAACCCAACTGTAATCTTTCTAAAATGCAAACCTGACAATGGCATTTCCTTGCTTAAAAATACTCATTGACTCAGTCTAAGGATTAAGGCCGAATTTCTTGGCCCTGGTATTCATGGCCTGTCATCATTTGCAACAGTGTCTAAGGCTTCCAGCCTTGACTTTCCCTCCACACTTCCTGCCCCCACCATTCTCCAGAGATACTAAATACATCACTTATACTCATCAGAGCCTTTCCAAAGGGCAGGTCTGGGACAGGAAGTAGGTGGAGAGGTAGGATAATGGGGAGGAAGATCTTCGGAAGAGGAAAAAGGCACGGGGTGGGGTGTGGAGGACTAGAGGATGGGGGTTTGGGGTGAAGAATGGGATAGAGGGTAAGGTTGAAAAGTAGAGAATGGGGTGGGGGTTGGACTGAGGGAAGGGACAGAAGGTGTTAGGAGGGGAATGGGATGTGGGCTTGGAGGAGGGGCCATAGGAGGCTACATACCTCTGGGCTTTGGCTTGGTTTTTACAAGTCCTTAGGTCAGGATCCTGTCTGAAGCTGGAACTGGGAAGTGTTAGCCCCGAGAGAGGGAAGGCTCTAGGCTGTGGATGAAACCCAGCTGCCGGGTGCTGTGTGGTGACAGGCCTTGCCGGCAAGCCTACAGCATGGGGAGGAGACTGGGACACCTGCAGAAATTAGCAAAGGATCAGGGGAGGTTGGGAGGGGAAGGGGCCAGGGGCGGATGGAGGGACTTGATTGAAGCCTCTGGAACCCTGGCCGGAAGAGAAGGGATCCGTTACCAGGGCAACTGGAACGCCTAGTAGTCTCAGTGTCAGCAGCAATCTGGTCACTTCTCGGGTGGGGGAGGTCTCCTGAGAGTCTGCATTGGACCTGGAGCGGACGAACCTAAAGGGTTCACGTCTTTTAAAGGGGTTTGTGGAATCTTTTTGAAAGTCTCTGGGTAGGGTTTGCGGAGATCTGTGGGGACGTCCGTGGGTGTCTGGGTTTGTGAGGGTCACTGTAGTGTTCCCATGAGATGTTTGTGGAGCTGTCATTGGGGCCTGTGAGGACTTGAGGGGGACTCGGTGGTTGGGATGGGAAACGCTGGGGCTCGGGTAGCAGGGGCTGGGCGGAGCCTGTCCTCGGAGCCCAGTAGGGACCAATCCGACTGACCGAGGGGCGGGGCACCATATGACGTCAGGCTCCGGCCGCTGCCGCCGCCGCGGGGCCTGGTTATCGCCGGTTCAGCGCAGCCCGGAGTCGCCCAGGCCTGAACTCCTATCCAGGTCCCTGGCTCGGCCTCAGCCAGCCCGACCCCGGCCCCGGGCCCGCCAGGACACCGGAGGCCACCCCCCCAGGGGTGGGGAGCGGAGCCGCGGGTCAGCTCAGCGAGCGCCCCGCGCTGGCCTGTCCGGCCCCGCCCCCGCCCCGGGCCATGGCCCAGCCCTTGTCCTGGCCCCGAGTCCTATTATCCCTACCCGGGCCCTGGCCTCCGGCCCCTCCCTCGCCCTGCTTCCCAAATCGGTCCCAGTTCCGGCCTGAGTACCAGCGAATGCCCAGGTCCAGGTTCCAACCCATGCCCCCCGTCCAGCCCCAGTCCCAGACCCTGACCTGGCCTCCACCCCCGTCTCTGCCCTGGTTACACCCCCTGTCACAAATCCCAGCCCAGCTCCTGTCCCAATCCCAACCCCAGTGTTTGCTTAAACCCAGGGCCCAAACCCTGCCCTTGCTCCAGTCCCCATCACAGCCTCTCCTTGCACCCCATCCCCTGTCCTTATTGAAGCCCTTGTGCCCAGCTCAATCCGACCCATTATCTCAGCCTTTGCCCTCATCTCTGTGTTTACCCAAGTCTCTCCCACTACCCACCCCTCTCTCTCACACCCTGCCCCTCTCCCAGCCTCGACTCAGGTCTGGGCTCCGGCTGCCGCCAGCCCTGTTGCTGCTGTTGCTGTTTTCTGTCCTTGGCCCAGGGGCTGGTGAGTGCAGAAGCAGCAAAGGCTGAGGCAGGGATGGGGTTCTGGCAGGGAGGGGTGGACTGGAGCGAGTGGGGAGAGGTGGGACCTTGGTAACCAAATCATTGGGGAAGAAGTGGGGAGAACCAGGGTGGAAAGGGTTGTTACACATCCGAGAGGAGTTGGCAGGGTCAGAAGAGAGGTAACAGGTGGCTTAATAGCACTGAAGGCAGAGACTCCCAGGTTTTCTGTCCTGGTGTCCATCTGCCCCCACTTTGACTCTTGCTTTTGCAAGGAGGTCTTGCTCCTGCTCATAAAGTTTGGTGGGAGGACATGGCCCCACACCAGACAGCCTCTAGTCCAGTGTGGGAAGAGCTAGCCTAAACTTTTGAAATATTGGACATGCCTTAATATAGGTTTATGAAAGCAGTTTTGAAAATAACATGTAGCAAACAGATGGACACGGGTTAGTCATCATTATAACGAGTTTTCTTCCTGTAATGAGTTTTGTTCCAAATAAGCTTGATTTGGCTAGAAATAACCACTGACACTTTCAGAGCAGGGTTGAAACTCAGAGGCTGTTTTACAGATGGGGAAACTGAGGCTCAGTAGGGGAGCAATTTGCTCAAGGTCATACAGCTTGTAAATGGCAGCACTGAAGCTAAAAAAAAGTTCCTAATTTCTATCCCACACTAGTGTATTTTTCCCCCACTGCAACATGTGCCTAATAAATAGGAAAACAAACCCAAGTGGGCAAAGGCTCAGAGCACAACCTGCCTTCTCCTCTGTTTGCCCACAAGCGGGGGGCTTCATCCACAAACTGGTCCCAATTTGCCAGCTGTCATCCTAGGGCCACCGTCCAGCAAGGCAGTGATTCGGATAGGAGAGGGAGAGGTCTGACTTCTTAATGGGTAGAATGTTGGGGGTGGTGGTCCTTGCCATAGGAGATGTACCATAAAAATGGCCCCATCCTAAGGAGATGACTATGGTCTGCATGGCCCCAGGCCTCAGCCACCTCTGGTGGGTGGCACTCTAGACAGGGTAGACATGTGCCTGAAGGAGACTTTGGCAATAACAGCAGAGTAGCTGGGGGTGGGAGCTGGGTTTCAATGAGCTCTGGGGTCTTGGTTCAGTGCACAAGCTTGGGGAGATCAATGCGTGTCAAAGGTCACCCCTCCTGAAGAGATGTCCAAGTTCACTGGACACTTACGCGCCTGAGTGTGTATACCTGAGGGATCTGTGGGAATGCTGGGCGCATGCACTGTGTGTACATGCTTGTGCATTGGTGAGTGTAGGCACATGCATGTTGTGTAGGGTGCATGTGAGCCTGTGTGTCCTCCGAGCACCCCATATTATTGTGCAAGGTGGAAGGTACATGTCATGGCCCACACATGTTCCCTTCAGCTCTTTCTGCCCCTGTAGACAGATCACTGAAGTGTTACCTTCCCAGTGCATAGCTCCATGTCTGGAGGCAGTGTTGGATGCCTCTCACAACAGATACAAGTAATCTATTTGCCCCCCCAGCCTATCTTCTTCAAGGAAGGAGCCATAGTAGGACTCAGTGCTGGCTCTTGCTTCTGAGAAATGGGGCACTTAGCAGATGTAGTGGCAGGTCAGGTTTTCAGTTGGGTGAGGGGAATGCCTGCCCTTGGGCCCAGTTCATGGCTTCTTTGTTCATTGTTCACGAGCCCGCTGAGCAAGCAGGAGCTGGCTCGGGGAGGAGGGTACTGACAGCCACAGAGCTGTGGACAGCTGAAAGATGTGGATTAAAATATGACTGTCCAGAAGCAGGTTTAGGTGGTTTGGGGAGAATTGTAATGAGGCCAGAACAGAGTGCTGAATAAGCCCTCTGCAGGCAGGGCAGCCTGGAGTGCTGCTGAGAGTCACTGCCTTGGAAGCTGTGGCCCGGCCTGCAGGAGTGCTCTGTGACCCACAGGGGCAGGGGGTGAGAGATTGTTGACTGAGG